ACTCTCCCCAAAGGTTCTTCCTTCGCAGTTCAATTTAGCATTTCAGTTTCGAAGACAAAGGCAATTTTGCTGTTTAAGATAAAGATTAAACTTATCGAAATGTTTGAACTACAGGAAAGAAGGCCAGGGATGCAATCCGCTGAATATCATGCGACAATCCTGCTAAAACTTTTCATAATAATACATAATTATGCGAATGTTTAGACAATCAACCAATCAAAATTACTACCAGGTTTTCGGGTAGTGAGTGACGTCACTGGACGGCATTAACGGCCGGTTGATTCAGACGTTACTGAGGGAGTAATAACGACTAGAAGCAATCCCATGAAATTCAGGCTAACACCCTTTTGTTTCTCCTGAATTAAGATTCAAAGCTAAGTTAATGCTTATTAAAAGATCTTATCTGTATGGCTGGTAATGAACTTGCAAATGGGATTATTCATGTCAAAAGTTGCCAGATACCTGTTTGGCAGAGTAACAGCAGTCGTAAGTTACTCTAAAGGAGGCAGTGCAAGCTGGTACAGAGAGCAGCTTTAAGTCTGACTATTAAATAAATTTTCAAAATCCTTCTCTATAATTAAAGGGAAACATTCATTCCTGTCTCAATAGTTAAGAAATACACGGTTTGTCGGAGGCAAATACATCATAACTAAAATTTGTCTCAGCTTCAACCAACTTTTCCTGGTAGAACACTGGTTTAACCTGAGAACAAATTTCAACTACAATTCTACAAGAAATAATCTAGCCTGCAAATACCATGTGTACCAACTGCTCGTTCACTTTCCTCTAGAGAGACAATCCCTGTGTAAATATGCGTTTTGAACAGTCTTTATGACGTCAATCTTTTCATTTTCACTCGACCGTTGTTTTGGGGGCTTCCAAATTAAGTTCACATGCTCTCCTAAAACCTCAGTTGCTTCAAACATTTTATTTGGTAGAAAAAAAGAAACAAGAATATTTCACTTTCCATGTGGTCCACTCAAACAAAATGTTATACTACATTTAGAGGGCATGTATGACACGGAAAACTTACAACTTCCTGTGACCACAAAAAAAGGCTCACTAAAAATTTCCAAGTTTTTAATAGTATTCGATGAAGGTTTACATTAAAAGGGAATTATCATAAGATAAATGATAATGATCACTCATTTTGGCAGTTTAGATTCAGTAAGCCTTGAGAATACACAACGACTTTTAACTTTCACTTTTATCTCCACAAATAAGCTTAATGCGTAATTAAATTTATCTGTCAATGAATTCCGAGCTAATTGTACCATAGAACAACGTAATCCTAAATCCCTAAGGTGTTTAAGTTTAAAAAATTTTCCAAGAATCAGCAACCTATGATTTTAATCATTATTACTCTCATACAATAGCGCCGAGAAAACGTCCAAACTGCAAAACGACAGCCGCCATTGTTGATTCCCTCCATCGAGAACCAAACAAAAATGCAAAGAATTTAACTTACCTTTTCATCCCCATGGAATTCTCGTCTGATTCTTCAACGGTGACAACGAACAAAAAGTCAACAGAGTATTGTGAAAAGGTATTAATCGGTTAACTTTCTACACGCTACGTTATACTCGGCTCACGAAAGTTTGACACGCCATGAATCAAACTCGTGCTCGGAATATTTGTTCGCGTGAGCGATTTTAGGGGGGTGAATTTTAAGAATAAAACGCAGGAACTTTTGTCATATTTTTATAAAAGAGCACCTTATCACGCTGATGACTTGTTTTGTTCATTCCAACCGAGCCGTTTAACAGGCGTGTTCAAGGCAAAATGCTTTCTGTTTGACCTTTTGGGTATGATGGTTCGATCACTTCATGTATGCCACACAAGATTTTGAGGCACGCACTTGGCGTCACTTTCGGCCACCACCTCATGCCAGGCAAGGAACGCTTTTCCCCTCATATATAACTAGTATAAATAGTTGACACTACAGCTGCCCCCGCTCTTTATATTGTCGGTCAATAGTATTCTTGGTCGTTGTGTAGCTCTTTGCAAATATACCGATTCATAATGAAGATTTTCACACATATTCCATACAATAAGTGAGGTAAAAACAGGATGCGCAAGGTTCATGCACAGTTTCAGTTCGATTCAGTTTCGAGATTAGTTTATTCTAAATCATAAGAAAATATTTAATTAGAAGTTGAATTTTTTGCTACTTCTCTTTCACTTTTTACATTCAGCTAATTTTATTTAAGCCTTAGAAATTAAAAGGACGTTTGATCAATTCACGCTCGCGCATCCTAGTTTTATTTTAAATTTTACAACGGAAGGACATCTGTGAGCAGGGAATAAATCAGCACAGAATTTGATTGTCTGCGAATTTCTGTAATCGTCCATCGTTCTGCTGGTGATAAGCTAGCCGTTGTACACTCGTCTTGCTTTTTTGCGGCTGAGTCTTATTCCGGCCACTGAATAGAGAGAAAGAGTGTCTGGCAAGGTTTCCAATAAAAGATTTGTGAACTCGTGTCTGGCCAACTCTCCAAGTGTTTATATCATGCTATATATACTCAGTTATACGCATCTCATAACTTCATCTACGCTTAACGAGTGTGTTTTGGTCCATGGCTTTCAAAATCACAGAATGTCACAGATAACACGTAACGCAAAAGAGTATCGAAGTATGACTGGACAATTAATGTCACAAAATCTACCTAAGCGTTCCCTTCAAGATTTTCGTCATCCTAACCATTTCGGCGCAAACAATAGAAACGTCATCATTACCTACCGATTTCTCGCGGTCCCTGTTCAAGCAAATCGAGACTTTTTCTGGCATACTGACTTTATATTTCAACTGTAATTACTATCCTTATTATACGCGCAAGTTACTAGAGTGCCTCGTCGGGATTTTGCCTTCTAGGCGAATATGCTGCGGGGGCAAATATGCCTTGACACTACTAAATTTGTGTCGCTCTGTGTCTACATTCTTATAGAGACGATATCCTAGAAAATTAGGGCAAAACCACTAACCAAGAATGCAAAAAATTCACTTCCGGTTGACGTTCATCACTCAAAAAACGTCCTTTCTTCTCGACACCTAACCCCTAGCCTGTAACTGGCGTTTCAGGTCAGATCAGAGTAGCGCTTGGAAGTAGTGGGCGAAAGAGAGAACGGGCGCACGTGAGGGAGACACG